GAACACTCATGGCAAACTGTAAAATTAAAAAAAAAAACAAAGATAAAGAAAGCTAAAATTATGGCTGATGCAAACTTCTGAGGATTTTTTTAAAGATGTCAGCCACGATTCATTGTGAGTTGGTAAGAGGATAAAAAAAAAGGATTTAACCAGCACATAATCAGCCTTAGTTCTCATGTGGTCCCCCCTTTTTTTTGCGTATAAATTGTTTATTTGTTGCTTTTGGTTGTCCAATCTTGGAGATCTTGTCTGTGTAAGGAGACCATGGCAGTTTCTGTCAAATCAGAGTTAAAATTTCTCAACAAAGTGGAAGAAAGAAGAACAGCTGTCGTCTTTTTTTCTGTTTTCCCTCATGTTGCCAAGAAATGGCATGACCTTTGTGTCAAGCCTTTCTCCCAATTTTCTGCAGTATCACTGAAATGTCATGTATATAAATGATTGCATCAGGCATGTATAAATGTGTAAATACCAACTTCCAAGCCAAGTGCATTTTGTTCTTAGGATTATTGACTCAAAAATCCATTTTCAGATATTGCTTTTTAAATCTACTGATTTTTCTGTAATTTCTGTACATTTTTTTAAATTTAAAGTTTGTATTTTTATTTTTTCCCCCCTTTTTCCCTTCATATGGAGTAGTCCTGGAGTTATACTGTAGCTGTGCTTGTAATGTAATTAATTTCACTGAGATTTGAATATTAAAGATGAATGGTCTGTGTACTCACAGACTTTAACATGTCAATCTCATTACCATCAAAACTTTACCCAACTCACCTGTCCAACCCATCCATGCATCCTTGATTTTTTTTTTTAAATTTATTTATTTTCCGACAAGTGCACGCTTTCAATTGTTTTGGGTTGTTTTTTTTGCATTGGCTTTATAAGAAATAGATTGGAAATATTTTATCAAACCCAGTTTCGTATGTTGAATTTTGTCCGTGTTAATTCACTAATCCAGGATCCTCCCTTGCAGCTGTGTTACTGTTACCGTTACTCTGAACACTGAACACTGAAGGTCATCTGAGTGATTTTGTGTGGATTGTGAGGGACTGACTTCTCAGTTTGTCTGCTACAAATGGGGATATTTGTAGATGCTGCCTTTCCTCGAATGACCACACGGTGTCAATCTTCATGCACAGAAACGGGCGCCCTGCTCATAAGGCGTGGACGACGAGACAGCCTCGTGCAAACCATGTTCCACCACATCATAAATGTAAAAAAGCTATAACTGCTCTCTTAGGTAATGCATTTGGGATCTTCTCAAACATGCCTTGAAAGGAAATCGTCTCTAAAAGCACTGTCCCTTGTAAGACACCCTATAAATGACAGTAACATTTACAGCCATTCAGAAGCTATTAAGGTGGGTTTGGGGGGGGGGGGGCAGGTAGTAAAACATCCTTTGCAGAATTATCATTGGAACATGGGCTCTGCTTGTCTTGTGTCACTTTTTCCATTCTTTGAAATTAAACGTTGCAATGAAGCCTCTGAAGGAGGAGGAATCATATGTAGCAGAAGCTGATTACCAGTCATCAATGACTTTATATACTGAGATGTGAAACATCTTCATACGTATCTGCTGTAATGTGCTTCTGCATCATATATTTCCGGGAACAAGCAATACCAGTGCTGTCTTTGGCGTTTTGGTGCACAGGTCATATTTTACAGAAAAGTAATAGCATATGAAAACCTTTGAAAGGGCGTAGAGAAATTCTGAGGTCTGAGTTCAGTGAGTTTTTTTAAAAAAAAATTATTCAGCATTGTGCTGGCAGTTGGCTAATGAAGGCTGTGCTTTTGAGGTGGATACCCCAGCGTTTCTGTTTAGCATCTGCAATTGATTCATAGACTGAATATTTCAGTTTAGTCCTTATTTAAGTGAAGAAGAAAGTGCTACACACATTAGAAGAGCATCTCTGAACACACAACAAGTAAAAACTTGAAGCACGTGATCTACAGCAGCACAAGACCACATTGGGTCCCACTCCTGTCAGCTAAAAACGGGAAACTGAGGCTACAATTCACATAGACCATGAGCATTGGTCATCTAGTCTGATGACTCTCAACTTCTGCTGCAAACATGAAACTATGGATCCATCCCACCTTGTATCAATGGTTGAGGCTGATGGTGGTATAATAGAGAGAGGGATGTTTTTTTAGTACACCTTAGTTCCCACTGAACATTGTTTAAATGCTTACCTGACAACTGATGCTGACCATATCCATCCCTTTATGACCAAAATGTTCCCATCTGCAGATTGCTCATTCCTGCAAATTATTCCTGCAAATGAAGCTTTGTACACTGTGCTCAACCGGCCTAAACAGTCACCAGATTTCAGTCCAATCAAACCCCATTAGGATGTGGTGGAGTATAAATATTTAAATTAGATCTAGATCCTTGATGTTTTGTGGACATAGAAAGCAAACCTGACTCATTCACCTTTAAACGTGTGAATATTTCCTCCTACTTATCCACTCCTTTCTCTTTCTTGTTTACTCCCAAATTTGGAAATCTACTCAACATCTTCCGATAACATAGAATGAAAGAGGAAGTGGAAAAACTGATGCGTGACAGAAGAAAAGGGAAGTAAAATTACTTCTGTCCATGCTAAATAAGCTGACATTTCAATGTGGTATGGCGTTTTTAATCACACCAGGCGCGTCCAGTCATGCAGGTTGTCGTGGGAGGAGAACTGATGTGTGCTAAATCTGTAAAATCAAAGTAGACAAACTAAAAAAAAATAAAAAGTGATTGTTGAGATGGAAAAATAAAAAGATCAGACTGTATATGAATAGGAATTTCATTAACAGTGTCTGCCTTCAGCCTGTTGGTGCTAAAACGTCAACTCCACTCAAGTTTTGGGTGTCTCTTTCCCTCATCGATGGTGTCAGGTCTCTTGCTGTCAGTGCCTGTTGCTAGCATCTGTTGGATCATAACTTTTATTGCCCAGTGCCTGCAAACATAGAACTTTGCTATTAAAAAAAGGCCTAAATCTCTATTTCTTATTATTAGATATTAAAATTTTTAACCACCGTGTCCAGGTGAATAGGTAACATAAACAGGTTATGATGCCTGGGGGCGGGGGGTACAAGTTGTGCCTGCTTGTAACCGTTTGAAAATTTGAGTGTCAAGTGTGACTTTAAAGTCATGCTGCCAGCGTGTGGTGTTTGCACTCGAGCAGTGTTCACCGAGCTGTGACAGTTTCAGTTTTAACCTGCAAAAACACAGACAGAATTTGTCTGTGCAAATGGTCCCGAGGGAGGCCAAAAGTGGCAAAAGAAGAAGAAGAAAAAAATGAAAGTTGATGTTGCTTTCACTGTTCTGGCCACCTGCAGTGCTTTCACCATGTGCTGTTATTCAACTTAGTACATGTCAGGCGTGAATGCGTTTTGTTTTTCAGCCGCAAAATACACCGAAACCCAATAACGCTCCCTTTCACAGCAATACTCCTTGTTTCATATATCATTCCCATGCCATATTACTACACCTCTGTCACCTCTTTTCAGTCGTCAGCGATTAGCACGCAGGCGTTATCGTACTGTACGCTTACTGTAGGTGTTCATAGCAGAGCAGCAAGAAAATCTTTCAGTTATCCTCGTGCTCGGCGGCTCTGACTAGTCACGCTAAGCAGCAAGGCCTGGATTTCAGCACAAGTGTTTAAAATATTCAGCAGAAGGAGCGGGGCTGAGATGAAGAGGATTTCGTGCCACGATCAGAAGAAGCAGAGAGCCCGTTCATGCTGCTGTACTCGACTGTGATATCAGCACACACTGGCATGACCCTGTTTCAGATGACTTTCCTACTTAATGTCATATTACCCAAGCGGGACACAACACCTACGGGAGGGGAAGACCCAGATTGAGTCCCTCCTGGGTTTTGGTGAAAATAATATTGCAGTAAATTAGTTTCAGATATTTCACCTGATTGGTCCATGGCAGCACAAACATTGGCTGAGAGAGTACGAGAGAATGTGTGCAGGAGCTTAAAAAAAAGCTGCCTTGACTTCTTCATTTTCCTATCTAGATGGCTCCCAGCAGAGTGGAGTGAACTTTGAGCCATACAAATGATAAAACTACACACTTTTGATAAAAAGCTGCTGGGTCTTTTCAACATGCTCTTAATTCTCATGGTTGGGGTTTCTGGTTTTTAAATCGACAGTGCAGAACCTTTGTTTTACATACCGGCACATGTCATTTGTGCATCGGTGTTTGCGTTATAATCTAAAACACAGTAGAACCACAGTTTCGGGCTGCTCAGTGAACACTCCAGGTACTGGAGGTACACTCCAGTACCTGGAGTGGACAATAAGGGGAGTAATGTCATCTGTCCTTATTTCACAAGTACCCACACTTACTTAAGTGTTTGCTTATATTCTGGCAGCCTATCTTTATCTCTATCTACTCAATTATAGTAATGATGTCAGGCTGTCATAGAAAGCGCTCTCGCTGTCACAAACAGGTCGGTAACCAGACAACTCATGCATAGTGTGATATGCACATGCTCTCACTGCCTGGAGAGTGGTTATACTGTTTATCTCTAGTATCTGCAGGTGCTCAGACAGAGCATTTATTGATAAAAATGAGTTGTGCTGGGCGCAGGTGTAGGATGCTAGGCTTGATCAACCAGTTGGCCTTGTTTAGGCTTTTATTTAGAGCAGTTCACTGACTGAACTACATGGCAACATCCAAAAAAAGAAGGGGAAAAAAAACATGCTACAAAATCAGGACTGGAACAGAATGAAATTCTGTGTCAACTGTGTTGATGTTTCATCTAATTTCCTCCAGTGTGACAATGGGAATAAATCATCCATGTCCAATTTTCTGAAGTTTCCCTAATATGGGTGTCAATTAGTAGAAGAGTGCTGTGGACACAGCTTTACAGCCTGCAAACTGCGCTGCCGCAGGCAGCACAATGCATTAGCGCACGATGAGCTGTCAGAGAGGATTATTTCAGCCACCACAGCCAGCGAAGGGGGTGGGCGCCGCTCTGCTGCACTAAACCAAGGAGAAAGAGTGGGCGGGAGACACAGAAAGGGAGAGAGACACACCGAGGAAAGAGGGAAAGAGAAGAAAGTGTCCGTTACACCGGGTGGATTTTTCCAGAGCACCGATGTTGGAACACTCTTCTGAGCTGGCCCTGGTGCAGAGTCTGTATGCCAACAGCATGCGCTGTCCCCCCTCTGCGGCCGGGATCTCAGTCAGGAATGAGGACCTGCCTATGAGGTACGTTGGGTTGGCCCCTCATTCAAATTTGGGCTAGCTTTTGTGGAGCAGCCCGTATTTGGACTGCCTCTTTGTCTGGGCTGGATATTGTCATAGGATGTATTGTTTCCAGCTGAGTCGTTCTCCCATGCTGTGAGAGTGTGCCTGTGGGCAGGGTAGTGTTCCTCTGGTGCGCCTATATGGTTTTCTTTTTAAACAGGAATCTAGAAGCCATGTTTAAATTGAACGCATTTTATAGTTTATGTCTCCTCAACTTCCCAAGAAAGATGTATCACTAAAATTGAATAAAAATGTACCTCCCTTCTTTATTTTTTCAAACTTCCTCAAGGAATTGTAGATTTGCATGAAATATAAATGTTTAAAAAAAAGGTGGAGGTGTCAGTGATGTAGGTGTTTGCCTTCGAACTGCATAGCCCACTGAAGAAGAGCAGTACGAGTGACTGGATGTCTGCTGAAAGCTGCCCAGGCCTCACTGTGCTGAGCCAGTCAAACACAACTGAAGATATCAATTATCTTTAAATGCAAGAAAAGGAAACATTTACATGTGCATTTGCATACATTCAGTGGAACTTTACACTGATAAGGCAGCGCTATATTTATTTAGTACATTCTGAAACAGTTGATTTCCTCTGCAAAGGAAAGATAAGATGAAGTTCACTCTCTCCATTTTGAGAGCACTTCAGCTGGTCGGCCATTCGACAAATGATTTCATGAAAGGCAGAGCTAAGAATAAGTGCACTTTCAAGTTAAAGGCGTCCTGCTTAAAACACATGATGTGGCCTCTTTTTGTTTTTTAGTTGAAGCTGGCCTATTTTTACACCTTGGACATTTTTTTTATCACGAAAAGGTGCACATTTAAATGCTGGGTGAGTGGGCTCTTCAGCTCCCACTGCATGAGGGAGAAAACATTTGATGTAAACAACAAAAGGATGGCACATGTGGAGGATTATGATAGGATTAGAGTAGTAATCATCTGAGATTAAGAAAGACAGTCTAGTATTAGAAGGTGCAAGCAACTAGACATGACACTAGGCATGTAAAATCCAATCTATTAAACATATTTTTAGAAAAAACAAATAGTACATACCAACACAGCTGAAATGTATGGATGCTGCAGATGCCGTCTTAATGAAACCCCAATCTTCAGAGAGGTTTACCTTTTTATATAAGCCCCTTAAGCTAAAGGCGATGCATGTTGCACAGTGGGCTCGTCCGCACTTATGGAAAAAGAGTTTGCATTATCACATTATGCACACAAGCCTCTTTCAGGCACTGTTTAATAGAGCAGACCAGACACTGGTGCCAGGTTGCCTTGAAATTGCTATGGATACAGGGATTAAGTAGGATTTCATAAATAGGATGTTTCTTAATGCTCACTATGAATAATATTTTAGGACTGTGCAGCTGCTGAAGCAGTAATGAGTGGTTTGATCATCAGGCTAGCCCCCCCAACTCCTCTCTCAAACAGCACTTGACAACAGTCCACCCCCCC